CCACGGGTCGATCCGATTATGGAAGTGCCCCAGACAAATGAGGTCAAGGGATCCAGTTGCCATTCGATTATTTTCTATCGGTCGGTTCGGCTGCGTCGCAGTCGGTTGCGTTCGGTCGATTCTGTCGGTCTGGTGTTGTGTCGGTGCTGAGTCGTTGCACAATGCACAATTCTAGGCTACTTGCGGACTGCTGGTCTTGTTCGATTCCAGCTTTGTTGTCGTGGTCGAGCCCCCAACAACGAAGATTCTCATGCTGAGCATGTGCCATACGTGGGCACATTCGTGTAGCAACACACGTGAGGGATGTGTTCGATATCTTCTGATCTCCGATGCAAGCTTTTCTTGTGACTGCATGAATCACGCCGCTGCCGCAAGCGAGACGAGACGTCCTAGAGCGTTTGGTCGGATTTGTATACGGGAGGTTCGTGTAGTGCCGACGCGGCGGCGACCCTCCGCGGACGTTCAAGGTCGAACGCCGCCGGTGGCTCCGAATCGGTCGAGAATCGGCCGACATGGAACGAGGCGTGCGGCGTGGGAGCCGCCGATCCTTCAAGATTGAGCAATCGTTGCGGTGTCAGAAGCCAGCGCTGGGCACAGCACAGCATGAATCTGCCGTATGTGCGTATACGAGTATCCCTCGGTTCTTCCTAGACCCCCCCATCGGCCTCCCCGCGAGCCTTCTCCTCAGCCAGGGGGGCTAGCAGAGTGAACACTTGTTGAATTCTTCCGTATTGTGCACAGGTAGTCGTTCTGTTTCACAATGTCCTCATTTCCGTCCCCATTAATGGGGCGAGCGGCTCTCTGAGTCGCCCGGCTGGACTTGCTGGCTTGCTTACGGATTTTTCTTTCTGGTTTGGACCGTCGTTTGCGCACCCCTGTTCGAAGCCATAGGTTTCTGGTGCTTTGCAAGGCAGCGCATCGCGAGGGTGCGAAAACGAAGTTGCGGCACGAGCCATTTGGCTTATTCGTAACGTTCGCCACCAGACCATCAACAAAAATCACGAGGCGAGTTGCACGGATCAGGGATGCGTAGCAGCATGCAGTCACGCTTTGGGAGCTTCCGGGAAGCATCTCGGGCGTTCGCGGGGACCTCCTAGGGCCCTCTTGGGGCCATCTTGGAAGCCTTTTGGGCCTTTCGAGCCCCTTCGAAGCCCTCTCGGGCTCTCTTGGGGGCCTCGATGGGGCTACTTGGAGCCATCTTGGAGGTCACCTATCGCAGAAGGGGCGTGCTTCACTGCGCCCTCCCTCCCCTCGGAGGCAGAACAAAATACATCTTGGGGCCCTGTTGGAATGCTTTTGGGCGCTCTTGGGGCCGTCTTGGGTCCTCGGGCCACTCTCGGGGCCCGCTTTGGCCATCTTGGAACCATCTTGAAGCCTCGAGAGCCCGTCAGAGGCGAAAATGCGAGAAGAGGGCAACACCCTAATCTCTTTTGGGTTCTCAATGATTCTGGCATCTCGAGGGTGTCCTTGGAAGGCCCCCTGGCCACTTGGAACCGTGTTGGAGCGGTCTTGGGACCTATTGGAGGTATGTTGGAAGCTATATCAAAGATCTTGGGATATACTGTAAGATCTTGGAAGCCATTTTGGACCCTCCAGTGACCCGCGGGACGCCCCCTCGAGCGCAAGAGGGAGGGTAGATAGGGAGGTCAGCTACCCTTCTAGATAACAGGCCGTCTAGCTCACTCCCACACGCCCTCCCCACACATGAGTAACCCCCGATTGTCAGCAGATCGCTTAGGAACGCCACACATGCCATGCGCGCCACGGATTCCAGGTGCACCAGACACCCTGGAGGCCCAAGCGTGCCAGGTGCCGCACATGCTCTACGTTTGCCAACTGTGCCACGTGCTCCAGCCGAGCCACGTGCGCCAGCAACGGGGAACCAACAGGGACCCCAGGTGCCTGAGGCCCTGGCCCCAAGGAGTTCAGTATCTTGAGTCCCCCTGAAGCGAAGTGCCCAGCATTCTGTGAGAAGTGCGGCTCTTCCAGGGAACGCAAAGTACAGGCACCAATGGACACACTGTGACATGCTGGGGAGTCACGAAACAGATGAGAGGTCAGAGAATACGGGGTCCTGCGCATGCTCCTGATATGGAGCCGAAGTGTATGTTTGCATCGTTTCTGATAGCCGATTGCTGGCCTGCGCGCAGCAAGCAATACGCCGGCACCTTCGCCGTCCCTGTCAAAAACCATGCAAAATTGTCGCGGGGCGCCCGCGCATGCGCCAGATTTGGATGCACAGTGCATTATATATTGTTTGTTTCAAGGGATGGTGGGGTTGTGGGCTCATTGGGCCAGGTTGGCTGCTGGTCGCCTGGGGGAGGGGGTGATTACTGGTAGGGGACAGTGATAAACCTCCCCCCAAAAGGAAGAAGGAGGTTCGCTACATAACCTACGCCCAAAAGAGCTGGTGGGGTTCGGTTGCCATTGTGCGTGATTGTTCATTTGTTAATTTCTCGTCAGCCTCCTTCCCCTTCCTCCCCGCTTCATTTGGCGTCGGAGCCACGAAGCCGCCAAACTCGCTCCTGGCGTCGGGGCGTGGAAGTTGCCGGATTCGCATGCGGCATCGGGCGGAGGATGCCGCCTCGCAGGCCCTCGTCCGCTCTTGTTTTCCTTCTTCTACCCCCAGGGTCCTCCCAGTCTCACTCCTGGGGCCAGAAGGCCAAAGTGGGCTACAAGTCGGCGCGTCTGCCCGGGCCCCGCTCCCGCCAAGGCTCTCCGTGCGCGCGTGGCGACCATCCGGGAACTGTCCCGGTGCTCCGAGGCAGGCGTCCTGATCCTTTTGTGTTTGCTTTCTCGAAGTCGGGAGTATCCGCCACCAGGGCCTCCCGCAGTCAGGTGAAAAAGAGGGCCCGTCGCGAGTGATAGAGAAGTGGCACAAGGGGGACTGTTGCTGGAGAAAAATGCTCGCCCCGTCCGCACGGGGTCCGATCTTTCGATCGTTTTTTCGCGACATGCGTCGCAACACTGTTCGCACAAGTTTTCATAACAGGTTTTATCACAGGTTTCCACCCGCCCAGGGAGCCATATTTTCACACCTCGGCGGCTCCAGTGCCCACGGGGGCGGATGTGCCTCAGCCCAGGGGGCAAGCCAGCCCAGGAGCGCTGCCGAGCAGGTCCTGCCCGCCCAGCGCCTCTGGCAGGGCGACGGCGCGCGGTGGGGTCTAGTCAGGCGCGACGGCCTGCCGGCCCACTCGGGCTTCCCGACCCCCCGAGAGCAAGGGAGTGGTGGACCATGGGGGTGGAAGCGCAGGGCCCCGAATCATCAGGGGTAACTCGGGTCAGGGATAACTCGGGTTCCTTTTTCGGGAATCCAAGCCCGAGTTACCCCGGACCCGACTTACCCCGGATAGTTCGGGCGTCCAGAGCCCCGAATCTTCAGGGGTAACTCGGGTCAGGGCTAACTCGGGTTCCTTTTTCGGGAATCCAAACCCGAGTTACCCCGGACCCGAGTTACCCCGGATAACTCGGGCGCCCAAGAAGCGCAGGGAAACAAGAGCAGGTGCGAGGGCCTGCGAGGCGGCATCCTCCGTCCGGCGCCGCAGGCGCAGGCGGCAACCTTCACGCCCTGGCGCCAGGGGCGAGTGTAGTAGTGTCGCGGCTCTGACGCCGAAGGAAGAGGGAGGAAGGGGAAGGAGGCTGGCGAGGAAATGACAGATAGAAACGCTTCGCGCAAGGGCAACCAAGCCGCGTCAGTCCTTTAAGGCGCAGGTTGTGTAGCGAGTTATAGTCATTCGAACCTCCTTCTTCTCTTCGGGGGGGAGGGGCACCTCTCCCCCTGACCCCCCGCCCTAGGTCTGGAGGGATTTTCCGCGGGTCGTTGGAGGGTCCATGATGGCCCAGGGACAGCCCCAAAAGGGCTCCTGCGAATTCAAGATGGCTGCCAGGAGCGCACAATGAATGTAGCCCAAGATCGTTCAACACCGCTTGCAACATGCCTCCAACGAGCCCCGAGACCGCTCTGGCAGGGTTCCAAGTGGCCACGGGAGCCCCCCCAAGGACCTGGAAAAGGTCATGATCATTCTAAAACGTGCTTCAAACACTGTCTGGTCGCACTTTCGCTTCCGACGGGCCTCGAGGCTTCAAGATGGTTCCAAGCCGGCTCGATCGAGCCCCAAGAAGGGCCGCAGACGACCCCGCGAGCACCCGAGAGCGCCCCGCGAACGCCCCGGCAGGGCCCCAAGAGGCCATCCGTCTGCCTGCGAGGGAGGGGGGGGGGGGGGGGCGTTCCTGGTCCCCCGCTCCCCCCTCTGCGACCCGTAGCTTACAAGACAAGCCTCAGGAGGCGCCCGCAATGCCACCGAAGCGGCCTCAAGAAGACTCAAGAGAACCCCAGAAGGGCTCGAAGAGGGTCCACGAGGCTTGGGGGGTGGGGCGTTCCTGGTCCCCCGCTCCCCCCTCTGCGACCCATACCTTAATAGATAAGTCTAAGACTCAGGGGCTCGAAGAGGGCCCACAAGGCTTGGGGGGGGGCGTTCCTGGTCCCCCGCTCCCCTCTCTGCGACCCACAGCTCACAAGATAAGCCTCAGGCGGCGTCTGCAATGCCACCGAAACGGTCTCAAGAAGACTCAAGAGGACCCCAGAATGGCTCGAAGAGGGCCCACAGGGCTTCAGACTGACCGATGCGGCCCCCCTGGCCCCAAGATGCTCCCAACAGGATCCCAAGACATCTTGCATTCTACGACGCATCCCTGGTCAGTGCAACTCGCCTGGTGATTGTTCTTGGGCGGGCTGGAGGGAGTGCGCGAAGCGCCAAGAGTGGACCAGCCACACATTACTTAGCATCGTACGGAAGCGCTTCCAAACAGACGAACAACGCCACATGGGCTCCAAGCCATTGCGGCTCAGCTCAAACACCGGAGCATGGCCAGGAAGGCAACACAGCCGGCCGGGCGCTTGCGAACCAACCATCGTTTGAAACCGCGAGGGACAAAGCACAGTTTTCTCTGCCGCTTCTGCTCGGATTCCCCGGCGGGGGCCTCCCGCCTCCCACGCGCAGGCCACCGCGAGCGCGGTGGCCCTCGCGGCGCTGAGCACCGGCGGGGCTGCGACGGGCTACGCGGCCTCCATGCGCGCCCCGCGCCGCCCGCCCCTCCTCTCTTCAGGGGCAGGCAGGACGCAACCTTCGCTCGCTGAGACGACAGTCGAAACCGGCGTTGGGGATTGGCCCTGTTCGCGAAGGCACCTTGCATGAGGGGTTTCTGGCCATCCTGGCCATGCGTTGGGCAGGGGTGGTGTTGCCTGGCTGGGGTCTCTCGCATACGGCCAAGTCGAACAGTATGGATGAGCAGCTTTCCAAGGTTACCTTCTCATCCTTGCCCCTTCGCTGGCCAACGCCATTCGAAAACGCCAACATGGCCCTCCGAGGCCCTTTTACCGCGCATCCTGACTATTCGACTTGACTGAACCTGGGTGTTTGAGGTTCGGCGCGTTGTTTTTCACTTCGGCACGTTCCAAGGGTCTTGCATCCATATACTCCTGCTTCATGATTGATGCGTTGATGCTGACAGTAATTATTTGTGGGTTCCCACACCCCCATCTACTATAGGCGCCTTCCTGTTTCAAGAGCACAGTTATCATGCCTCTCCCTCCCTTCTTCTTCAGGGGGCTTGCTTTCAACGCTTTCATTATTTTGTGTTTGTGCCCACTTTTTCAGAACGAGGGGCAGGGGAGTAGGCCGTCATCTTCTTATCGCCCCCCTTCACACGTCGCCTCTCTCGCGGTGCGTTTCGTCGTCGTCACCGTCGTCGGCAGCTGCGCCGTCGTCGTTGTCGGTTGCGTCGTCGTCTGTTGCGTCGTCGTCGGTTACGTCGTCGTCGTGGTTGTTGTCGTCGGCGTTGCCGTCGTGGTCGTCGTCGGCGTCGGCGTCGTCGTCGTCGTCGTGGACGTCATCGTCGTCGGAGTCGTTGTCCTGGCGGACGTCGATGTCGTGGTGGTGGTCGTCGTCGTCATCTCCATTGTCGTTATCATCGTTGTCATCATCGTCGTTATGGTTGCTGTTGCTGATCGTCGTCGTTGTCACCCTTGTCGTTCAGGATGTCGTCTTGGACATCCACATCGCGGTACTTGTTGTTGCCGTCGTGGTCGTCGTCGTCGGGAGGAAGGGCGGAGGGCGAGATGGGGTTGGGGGAGGAGTAGTGAGGAGCGGGGAGGAGGAGGCGGAGATGGTGGAGGCGTTGGGGTAGAAGAAGGTGTTCTTGAACGAGCTGTGGAGAGATGCTTCAGGGAGTTACACTCTTAAGGGGTCCATTGGGCTCTGTCGGTTCGTGGCGTGTTGGGGCGAGGATGAGGAGGATGAAGAGGATGAGGGGGAGGTTGGGGTAGGGCTGGGACATCAGGATGGGCATGGAGGAGGAAGGAGGGAGGGACGAGGGCGGAGGATGAAGAGGGGAGGCGGAGACAGAAGGGGGGAGGGGTGGAAGAGGATCCCTAAGTTCATTCCTTTCACCCCTGTCCTTTCGTGCAGGGGGCTATCTGTTCCCCCGCTCCTCGTACCTCCTTCCCCTTACCCGCTTCTCTTCTTCTTCTTCTTCTTGTGATTACTGCTATCATTGTTTTTCCTTTTCTCCTCCTCCTCATCGCTCCGTCGTACCCTTCCTGCCTCCCTCCCCTTCTCCCTTCAACAATTTCAGAATCTGATTACTACTCTCGTCTCTCCCCTGACTCTGTCTGGAAGATGTTCGGATTCCAGCGAATTGGTCTTTCATATGTGTTGTTGCACGTCCGTTTCTTTCCGGTCCTTCAAGAAGTTGTTCCCACTACATCGTTGGTTATACAGCGCTGGGCTCATTTCCGCACTTCCGCTCGTTCCGAATCGTGCTCCCGCTGCAGCGTTGGCGTCATTCCCGCGCTTCTGCTCGTTCCGAATCGTGTTCCCGCTGTAGCCGCTGGCCTCATTTCTAGCGCCATGCCACGGCACGTATTGCAATGCTATGGTGTGTGTGTGTGTTCCGCTGTGCGATGCCATGCCTTCAGCTGCAATGCTATGATATGCAGTGCTTGACTACGCAGTGCCACGCCATGCTATGTCATGATACGCGTTGAGCTTCAGCGCCATGTTATGCCATGTAATGCTATGCAATGCTACGACATCCGACTGCGCGAATAGAGAGGATATCTACGCCATGGTAAGGGATGGGAGGGAGGGGTGGGACGTCAGATAAGACGCCTGCGCACCTAGCTTGGCCCCTCCCCCCTCTCGTCATTCCCTCTCCTCCCTTCCCTCCCCCTCCCTTCCTTCCTACCCTCCTCTTGCTCTTATTCCCTCTTCATCAATCCCCACCCTCTGTTGGTGTTGAAGATGCCTGTGTATTTTCGCCTCGCGTTTCACGCCTGCCTTCCCGATGGGCTGAAAACGTCGAACAAGTTTAGCCCTTTCTGTAAACTCGTTCTTTCTGCCAGGAGAACTCCGACATGCCATGCCTTGGCTTTTTTTTGCCAAGGCCAGGCTTCCATCCCAAGTCTTTTTTGGCGATCGCGGGGCCCAGCGAGGGCCCTCAGAGGCCACAAACGGTCAAACACATCCCGTCGTGTTGCTGTTCCGCGACGCGAGCATGTCCCATCGCTCCCTCTGCCACCCCCGCGGACAGGCCGTACGCCATCTCCACCGCGACGGTCGGCGGGGGTCTGAGGCGCAGACATGGCAGCGCTCGGGGATGCCCACTGACCTCCTCGCGTCGTGGATGAGCCACGCGCAGAGGAGGGGTAGGGGAAGGAGAAGGCATCTTCGAAGCACCCCTGCTTCCTGGAAGGCGCGGGCCTCTTCTGTAGATGTAAGGCCATCGTCTTCTAAGAAGCAGCCTCCTTCTAAGAAGCCTTCCCCCCTCCCCCTGCCCCCTTGTACGCGCCGCCAAAACACGGTCAGGAATTTTGCCTTAGCGTGTCGCGCCGCCGGTTCTGGCCCACCACGTTTCGGCGCGACACGCCATCCACGCCCCGGTCCCCAGGCGTCAACGTCCCGAGATTTGCCCAGCCTCCCGCCCCGCGGAGCAGAGCGACACGCTATCCGCTCGCAGGGCATAGCGTGTCGCTAGGGCTGCCGCCGCGACACGCTGAGCAAAATGTCATGACCGTAATCAAGACGGGAGCTTTGGCACATTTTCCGCCTCTGGAGACCCTTGCCCAGGCCTGGGGGTTGTGACCAGCAAGGCTCGGGATGAACCAGGCCCCTGGGGAATGGGTCCAGACCATTGGGGCAGCCACGTGCGGGGAGCTCTGGCGTTGGATGCATGGGGCTGACCACATCGCCTATCCTGGCTAGGCCGCTCCTGGGCCCAGGAGCCAGGAGCAGTGCCTACAGTCAACCCGCACAGCAAGGACGAGCGACTTTCCGAGGTTACACTTGCATCGTCGGCACATCCTTGGCCGCTTTCGCTGGCCGCGCCACGCTAGCGAAGTGCCGACGTGTCCTTCCAGGACCCTTGCATCCTTATCGTGCGTCCTTCTTATACGGGTTGACTGTACGCCCTCCTGGCCAGGCCAGGGCGACGTCGGCACCGAGACGCCTCCTCGGCCCCCCTTCGCCCAGGGCGAGCCCCCAGCCAGGAGCGGCGAGGTGTCCGGCCGACGACCCCCCCCCCGCGGCGCGCCGCTCCCGCCCAGGCCCCTCGGCCCGCCTCCGCACATCGAGAGCGACGAGCGCAGCGGCGGCGGCGGCGGCGATGACGACCATGACATCGACGGCGGCGATCGGCGGCGGCGACGACGGCGGCGGACAACGACGGCGGCGATCGGCGGCGGCGACCACGATATCGACGACCGCGCCGCTTGTTCCCTCGCGCTGCCTTCCGTCTTGGGGAGGGGGCCTCGGCCACCAGGCGCAAATTCCGCCTCGGACGCACAGTTTGCCGTGAGCTTGCCGCGGTGCCGGCTTTGCCTACATGGGCGCATTCAGAACAAACGGCGCGGCGACAGATCGATGGCGGCGATCGGCGGCGACGACGGCGGCGGGCGGCGGAGAGGGAGGAGAACTCCTTTGATTTCTGCGCTGGGCAGTGCTCGAAACTCTGCCATTGCCCGCCCGTGGCTCTCGCCGCGGCCCCCTTCCCGATTCCACGGGGGCCCCTCCGAGAGCCGGGCTCGACCGGGCGGGGCTGGGGCGGATGAAAATCGCTCCACAGTCTGCAAGGACGCTCTCACGGCGCACCGGAGCGCTCTGGAGCGGCCGCGGCGCTCGATGCACCCTCCAGAGCCGCCAGATCTCAGAGTTCCCCGGCTTGTCCCGGTCCGAGGTTGTCCCTGCCCTGGCCTTGGCTTGCTCGGCAGCTGCAGCTCAGCTGCCCGGCCAGGCTCCGCGTGCAAGCTAATCCAGATTCCAGTTTGCCCGCTTCTCCGGGCGGGCGACGCTCCCCCCGCCAGATCTCGCAGGGCTGGGCCATTCGCGAACACAGACACAGCCGCAGCTGGTGCAACAGCAAAGGGGCACAGCAGGTGCAGCAAAGAAGCAATCGGCCTGCAAGCCAAGCTTTCTATACTCTGCCTTTTCTGATATGGCATAGTTGTTTGTATGGTTCGGTTACATTCCGTCCCCACGAACGGCATGTTGCTTGACACAGGGGTCTCTGTACACCGAGGCTGATGCACGTGCCTGAGCGTGGGTTCGTGGAACAATCGAGGCACATGTTCTGAAATCATTTGTCTGCGTTTCACTCTGACGCCGATCCGATTGTCGGCGGTTGCACTCTCTCATCCTCTTTCCTTCTGAAAGGATAGCCCGGCCAAGAATTCAACCCCTTCGAAACACGTGGCGGCTTTAAACAGGACCTTTCAATACACAGGACCAGACAGACAGGGATCTGTAGTCCCCCTGAACTTTTCGCTGAAGAACGTCAGACCGCATTCAATGTTACACACACTCGGAGCGTTCAGTGGAGCTTCCCAAAACGGCCACGAAACATTTGAGGGGTGTGCCGAAATGGGGCGCGTCACCATACGAACTCCGCCACTGGGGTATACGGTGGAGCTCCCTGGGGGGCCATGAAATGTGTGTGTGTGTGTGTGCGTGCGTGCGTGCGTGCGTGCGTGCGTGCGTGCGTGCGTGCGTGCGTGCGTGTGTGTGTGTGTGTGTGTCTGTGTGTGTCTGTGTGTGTGTGTGCGTGTGTGTGTGTGCGTGTGTGTGTGTGTGTGTGTGTGTGGGTGGGGGTGGGGGTGGGGGGGCCGAGATGGCGCGGGTCACCAATGCACCCGGCCATTGGGGCCTTCGGTATTTAGAGCTCCTTGTAGGCTTTGGGTGCAGTTTTCTACAGGGCCACGGGACGTGTCAGATGTGTGCCGAAATGGGGCGCATCACCATGGGAGCCCTGCCACTGGGGCCTTGTAAAGCTTCATAGGTTGCCACGAAACGTGTGAGGGGTGTATCGCACTTCGGCGGGCCACCATGCGAATCCTACCACTGGGGCCTTCGGGGGAGCTCCCTATGGGGCCACGAATTGTTTGAGAGGTGAGCCGAAATGGGGCGGCTGACCATGCGACACCTGCCATTGAGGCTTTCGGTGGAGCTGTATAGGGGGCCACGAAGCGTATGAAGTGTGTGTGTGTGCCGTAACAGTGATGGGGATGAAGATGGCGGTGACATTGATTCAGGTGATGATGACGGTGACGATGATTGTGACCACGACTATGACCACAAATACGTAGCACCCCGCAGTTGCGGATAAGAGTGAGGGGGCGGCGAGGACGTCGTCAGTCTGCGAGGCTCTGAAGAAGCCCGCCGCAGGCGCCTAATTTTTACAAATTATGCAGTGGGCCCGCCGCAGGCGCCGATTTCTTCGTTACAGCGATGTGGGTGAATCGCGGGGTGGGTCGCGGGTGGGTCGCGGGCGGGCCGCGGGCCGGGTCGCGGATGGGTCGCGGGTGGGTCGCGGGTGGGTCGCGTATGGGTCGCGGGTGGGTCGGGCGGGGGTGGGTCGCGGGGTAAGTCGCGGGTGGGTCGCGGGGTGGGTCGCGGGGTGGGTCCGCGGGGTGCGTCGCGGGGTGGGTCTCGGGATGGGTCGCGGGGGGGTCGCGGGGTGGGTCGCGGGGTGGGTCGCGGGGTGGGTCGCGGGTGGGTCTCGGGCGGGTCAGCGTGTGGGTCGCGGGGTGGGTCGCAGGTGGGTCGCGGGGTGGGTCGCGGGGTGGGTCGCGGGGTGGGTCGTGGGGTGGGTTGCGGGGTGTGTCGCGGGTGGGTCGCGGGCGGGTCGGGGGGTGGACGGCGACAACACCGAGCAGAATCTTCCCGCGGATCCCCACTTCAGCCACGCACCCGGGAACAAAGAATGAGTGTTCGGCCCCCTCACTCTGATTGTGTCGCACCCCGCAGTTGCGGATAAGAGTGAGGGGGCGGGCGCGGGGAGGGTCGCGGGTGGGTCGCGGGTGGGTCGCGGGTTGTTTCGCGGATTGGTCGCGGGTGGGTCGCGGGTGGGTCGCGGGTGGGTCGTGGGTGGGTCGCGGGGTGGGTCGCAGGCTGGGTCGCGGGGTGGGTCGCGGGTGAGTCGTGGGCGGGTCGCGGGTGGGTCGCGGTCCGGGTCCGGGTCGCGAGTGGGACGACGACATATACAACGCAGCGCAACGCAACAACAATCCGCACTGCGGAACCCCATTTCAGTCACGCACCCAGGGACAGTGAGTGACCGTTCGGCCCCCTCACTCTGACGAAAACGATGGTTCTGGTGACAACAACGAGGAGGAAGAGGATGCGGATGGGGAATCTCTCGGACATCACGTGCAACGTTCAGAGCCCATGTGTCGTTTATGTCCTGATAAGCGTCCCACGAAAGTCAAAGTCAAAAAGGGAAACACGAAGACTTTTCACTTCCCACGTGTCTTCTGGCCATCTCTTTTCGTCACACTGGGACCACATGGCCTGGATAGCGTCGATCAGACTGTCATCGAGTTCGCACTGGAGCCACATTTTTCCTACCGATAAGACTGGCCCATGGCCGATTTGGGTGTTCTCCTGTTTGGGGGTGAACAGCGACGGGACAACCATCGGACAACCGTTTCCATGCATCGACCGAATTTGATCGGTGAACCGATTCACCTACCGATGCACTTGTCGATATACATACGTCATGCGTATATATATATACATATATATATATATATGGATGTGTTCACCACTTTAAGCCAAGTAGTGTCGCAACTGGCCGCAGGAACATCGTTCCGTAATCCTCAAGGCTCAAGCAGGCCCAGCCTATGCAGTTTGTTAGGGGTGCGATCCCAGAGCTTGCTCGGGGGATATCGAATAGCCTCCTCCTCTGGGCACAGACTCCGCCGCCCTGCCCTGTGTGCCAGCCTGTGGTGCACTGTGACTGCCCGGCCGTGGAGCCGACGCAGCTCAAGGAGGTCTTCCACGAGCGGGCGAACCCCGTGGAGCAGACGGGCTTGGTACTGGCCACCTTCCTCACCGGCTTGGTCGCCGGACACCAGCTCGCGAGAGGCGGGCTCTTCGGTTGCCCGCGTCGGGCGCCGCCGGCGCCAGTGGCTGCCGCACCTGTTCCAGCACCTGAGGCCGCTGCACAGGCCGAGGAGGAGGACATTGTCGAACTTGCCCGCCGTCAGCAGGCGTTGATCCGCAAGCGGGTGCTGCCCGCCCTTCATCAGTGATGGCGGCGCCAGCCGCAGTCGCCCACCCCCTCGGGCTTCGTGAGGGGGAGTTCTTCGCCATGAGGTACAACGTTGGTGGTCGTGAGTTGTGGCACACCCGCATC